ATTCCCTTTCATCTGTAATCCCCAACAAGGCATAGATAATCCCAGTAGATCAGAGAGAGCCCTCAGAGTTACGCACTGGACCACATTAGAACTCGAAGTTCTTGTAAGGACACCACTGGGTCTCCTACTTAATTGGTGAAGGTGGTGTGGGGTGATGTGGGGAGGGGTGTCCCACTGGCCTGTGTTACCAGCCCCCTAAGGAAGCAGCCCTAGTCTTTATAAAGGTTTGGAGGCCATATGGTGGAACCAGCAGAACAATGGGGGTTTGTGTCCGCGGCTGATGAGAAGTCCCTGACCAAGTGCTGTTGGATGAAACCTCTCTGCTCCTGTTTCTTCCCTTCCGTTTATTCAGTGGATGTTTCTTTCAGACACTACCCATGGTCCTCAGCCTTGAGGGCCAAAAGACCCATACCGTGCATTTTGAACACTGTCCCTTGTCCTTTCTCCAGAAAAGGCTGGCATTCCCTTCCTTTCCTCCTGAGCCCTCCAGACCCTGGAATAGGAGGGGCTGCAGCCCCAGCTATAGTGGGTGTCAAGCCTGGGAATTTCTTCCTGATGGAATTTCAATCAAATGGATGTTAATTAAAATAGGAAAGTCTTGAAATGGGCTCAAGCTTCTGTTTATAAGGTGGCCTTGAAGGGGTCTGGAAGTACAGAATCCTGCCGTTTCTGACATGTTCCTTTAGTCCTGGCTGTCACCCCCCAATCAGGGGAAGTGGCTTTTCTTACTGTTTCCTTTTGTTTTCTTTCTTTCTTTTTTTTTTTAAGACAGAGTCTCCCTTTGTCACCCTCGGTAGAGTGCCGTGGCATCACAGCTCACAGCAACCTCCAGCTCTTGGGCTTAGATGATTCTCTTGCCTCAGCCTCCCGAGTAGCTGGGACTACAGGCGCCCACAGCAATGCCCAGCTATTTTCTTGCTGCTGTTTGGTCGGGGCCGGGTTTGAACCCTCCACCCTCGGTATATGGGGCCAGTGCCCTGCTCACTGAGCCACAGGCTCTGCCTTCTTTTTTGTTTACCTATAAACAGAGATGGTTCAGTTGAGACAGTGGTTTTCTTCTTGGGGGTAGCCCCCCCCCACCCCCCCCCGGACATTTGGTCA